CAAGATGCTTTGCAATGCTGGTTTTCTGGCTGCAAATTCTTTTAACTTTTGTTTATCATGAAAGATTTTTATTTCATTGTCGTACCTGAAGCTTAATTTTGCTGGATACAAAATTCTTGGCATCCATTGTCTTTCAGTGTTTGAAATACATTGTTCCAGGACCTTCTGGCTTTCAGTGTCTGTGATGAAAAATCCGTTGTTAACCTTATTGGTTTACCCCTGAATATAATCTGCCTCCTTTCTCTTGTAGCTTTTAATATTTTCTCTTTGTTCTGTATATTGGATATCTTCATAACAATGTGTCTTGGCATTGGTCTACTGTGATTTTGTATGTTCAGTGTCCTGTATGCACCTAAAATTTGTACATCCATTTCCTTTTTTATATCTGGATAGTTTTCCATAATTATTTCATTCAACAGATTGCTCATTCCCTTGGTTTGAATCTCTATACCTTCCTCTATCCTGATGATTCTTAAATTTGGTTTTTTTATGCTATCCCATATCTCTTGGATGTTTTTCTCATGATTTTTTACCAGCCTTTCTGAGTTGGCTAGACTCTTTTCCAGATAATATATTTTGTCTTCATTATCTGACGTTCTGGCTTCTACTTGCTCCACTTTGTTAGTGATACTCTCATTTGAGTTTTTAATTTGGTTTATAGTTTCCTTCATTTCTAGGATTATTATTTGATTTTTTTTATAATCTCTATCTCCTGATAAAGATGCTTATTTGCTTCTTTTATCTGTTTATGTAATTCATTATCAATGTGTTCTTTCATTGGCTGTCTCATGTCCTCTTTAGATTCCATTCCATCTGTCTAAGGTGTTCCTTGAATTCTTTATTTGACCATTTTTCTGATGCCTCTAGGTCCTCCTGTATATTTAGGCTGTCCTGCATTGTTTGTACTCCTTTTCTTCCTTGCTTTTTCATGCAGTTCATGTTACTTCTTGTTCTGTTTGACTGCTGAGTTACTGTTTATTCCTATAAATTTATTTGGTTTTGTGTATCTCTGGGGTCTCTCTTATGTGATGGGAGACTATGACTAGAGATGATGAGTTTTGTTGCACTTTAAAGCAGATTCTTTGTTTCTTAAACTGTGTATGGATTCTGATGGCATATAGTGGTCTGCGGTTTGGTCTTGGGACTTATATTTAGGTCGAATGATGTGATGGTATTGAGGTTGGTATCTCTTGGCAACCTTGAAAGGTTGCTCTACTGATGAGGGATATTAACAGAAGAATGGTCTGGAGTATTTGTGGGTAGCTAGGGACTTGGTAGCACTATATAATGCCTCGGAACATTTACCTATACATATTTAGTAAATTACACATAAACAGCGTCGTGATGCTTGGGAGGAAAGGTATTAGAAGGGGAGGGAAGAAGTCACTAAAGGGAATGAGAGTAAACAGGTCGAATTCAAGGAAAGGGGAATAAGGAAATTGAAAAGAAATGAAAAGACAAAAGAAAAAAATAGAAAAGAAAAAATTTTAGAAAATAATTAAAAAAAATAAAAATAAAAAATAAAAAATAATTTTATTTTATTTTTTTATTGGTTGTTCAAAACATTACATAACTCATGACATATCATCTTTCATACATTTGATTCAAGTGGGTTATGAACTCCCATTTTTACCCCAAATACAAGTTGCAGAATCACATCGGTTACACATCCACATTTTTCCATAATGCCATATTAGTGACTGTTGTATTCTGCTACGTTTCCTATCCCCTACTATCCCCCCTTCCCTTCCATCTTCCCTCTCTACTCCATCAGCTGTTGTTCAATTCTCTCCCTTGTTTTTTTCCCCTTTCCCCTCACCATCTCTTATATGTAATTATGTGTAACAATGAGGGTCTCCTTCCATTTCCATACAGTTTCCCTTCTCTCTCTCTTTCCCTCCCACTACTCGTCTGTTTAATGTTAGTCTTTTCCTCATGCTCTTCTTCCCTGTTCTGTTCTTAGTTGCTCTCTTTATATCAAAGAAGACATTTGGCATTTGTTTTTTAAGGATTGGCTAGCTTCACTTAGCATAATCTGCTCTAATGCCATCCATTTCCCTGCAAATTCCATGATTTTGTTGTTTTTTAGTGCTGCATAATACTCCATTATGTATAAATGCCACATTTTTTTTATCCATTCAATACCCGGCACAGGGGGAAAAAAGTTAGTTGAAATATAGAAACTGTATCTTCTATTCTGGTCTTCTTGCCTATTTTAGTGCCAACCATGCTGTTTTTGTTACTATAGCTTTATAGTATAATTTAAGGTCCAGTATTGTGTTGCCTCCTGCTTCATGTCTCTAAGGATTGCTTTGAATATTCTGGGCTTCTTATTTTTCCAACTGAATTTCATGATTCTTTTTCTATTTCTATGAAGAATGTCATTGAATGTTTCTGATGGAAACTGCATTGAATCCATAATAATGCTTTTGATATTATGGCCATTTTTGACAATATTGACTCTGCCTATCCAAGAACATGGGAGATCTTTCCATTTTCTAAGGCCTTCCTCAATTTTTTTCGTTAGTAGTCTGTAGTTTTCATTGTAGAGATCCTTCACCTCTTTTGTTAAATTGATTCCTAAGTATTTTATTTTTTTGGAGGCTACTGTGAGTGGGATAGTTTTCCTAATATCTCTTTAAGCTGCTTTATCCTTAGAGTATAGGAATGCAATTGTTTATGGATGTTAATTTTGTATCCTACTACTATGCTGAATTCATTTATGAGTTCTAGAAGTTTACTGGTGGAGTTTTTTGGGGTCTTCTAAATATAAAATCATGTTGTCAGCAGAGATAGTTTTCTATTCCTTTTCATACCCTTTAATTTCTTTCTTTTGCCTGATTGCTCTGGCTAGAGTTTCAAGGACTAGATTGAACAGAATTGGTTAAAGTAGGCATCCTTGTCTTGTTCCTGTTTTTAGAGGAAATGCTTTCAGTTTTTCTGTTTAGAATGTGTTAGCCTTGGGTTTGTCATGTTTAGCTTTTACAATTTTAAAGTATGTTCCTTCTATCCCTAATTTTTCAAGTGTTCTAAACATGATCAAATGCTGTATTTTTGTCAAATGCTTTATCTGCATCTATTGAGATTACAGTGATTCTGGTCTTTAAGTCTGTTTATGTGGTGTATTACATTTATTGATTTCTCCATGTTAAAGGAGGGGAGGGGAAGAAGTTCAGTAGATTAGACAAAGGGGAAAGAAAAAAAGGGAAAGGGGACAGGAACAGGAAAGATAGTAGAATAAATATAATTTTCCTATGAACACATTTGAAAATACTTAAATGAACCCCACCATCATGCCTACTCACAAGAATGGGATCCTAATTAGAATAAGATATATCCTTTGCTTATATAATTTTACCAAAATAGATTCTACTTAATTCTATAATTAAGAATCAATAAAATAAAATTTAAAATATTCAGAAACTGAAACAAAATCAATAAGCTTCTTGTGCTGCTACACTAAAACCAATTGTGTATCTTGTATTTTTTTTTTCTTTTTCTATCTTGTACTTCAATTGGATGTTTTACTTGCACCTGATTTTATAACTGATCTTTTAGGAAATACTGATTTATTGAGTTTTGTGGATCTTCCTAATGTTGACACACTGCATTATAAAACATCAAAAAAATTACCTTCATAAATTTTATCTGTGATTTCACAAGAAAATTTGAAGCATTAGAAAATCATCAGGTAGGTCAAGGGGATGAACCCAGTTTTCCAAAATTGTAACTAGAGCGCTTCGACTTTTTCCACTGCCATCAAACACTATCAGCTGTTTTCCTTGAAGGAACCAGCATATTCCATTCATTTTTTTAAAATGCCATATAACCAATGAAAATAGCCAATTTGTCAATTGTGCTTCAAAGTTAGAAAATAAAAAAGTAAAACTAGTTTTCTTAACAATATTTACAATAAGTGCACTTGTACTTTCTTCAAGACTACTGTGTAATTCAGTACACACAGAAATGTTTTAAATGCACTTGCTTTGTTATCACATAGGATATTAAAAAGATATATATTCAAGATTAAACATTTAATAAAATCAACAACTTTTCTGCTTTGTCACATTCTTTAGTGAAACTGGCTTTTTTTTAAAAAAAATGCTAGTACATGGCAGTGAAAAATAAGATAACCGCAGTATTGTTTGGTGCCACTGCACTGATTTCTACTAAGGTTCCAGCATTTTACCCACTACTGCTTTAGCATTGTCACACAAATGGAAACACTATTAAAGGGGCAAATAATATGTTACTATTATTATGAAAATAGTTTTGACCTTAAGAGACTCCCCAAAAGAATATCAGGAACTCCTAGAGAGTTCTCAGGAATTCACAGAACATACTCAAAGAACTGAAAGAATAGTCTCCCAAAGTTTAATAGTTACACTAATTCTAATTTTAATAAGCTTTACAAATTCTTCCTTTATGTTATGCTATAAACTTGCTTTCAAAATATAATAGAATCAATTTATCTTAATCTAATTCAGTCTTATGAAATAAATCTTACCTGGAATGTTTGTAAAACACATTTATGCTACTAAACGGGCAATTATTTAAAGATCTACAATAATTCTGAAACTCTTTAAGAAAATAAAGATGTACCTCAGATGTACAAAGTGACCAAAAAAATGGGGCTAAAAAACCCATAACATGGGGCTAGGATTGTGGCTCAGTGGTAGAGCACTTGCCTTGCACATATGAGGCACCTGGTTCAATCCTCAGCACCACATAAAATAAATAAATTAGTAAAACAAAGGTAATGTGTTCATGTTCAATTTGAAAAAAAAATTTTTAAACCCACAATATAATAAAGTCAAAAATTGGTATACTTACTGTGACACAGCTTGATTTTGTACTATTTCATCTTGAGGTTGCTAGGAAGAAAAACAGTAGTTTTTTTATATGTGCTAATCTAATAAAACAAGATAAAAAATTAACATTTAAGATAAGTCTTATTTTATTGTGGCAAAATATACATAAAATTTACCATAATAACCATTTTTAGATGTATAGTTCTATAGTCCTCAGTAATTCAGTTGTTGTGCATCTACTACCACCATTCATCTCCGGAACATTGTTGGGTTCTCAAACTCCATATCCTAAACATGAATACTCTATTTCCTTCTCTCTCCACCCATGGCAACCATCATTCTACCTCCTGTCTCTCTGAGTCTGACTATGCCAGGAACGTCATAAAAGAGGCATCATACAATATTGTCATATGGGGACTACTTTATTTCACATAGTACAATGTCTTCAAGGTTCATCCATGTGGTAGCATGTATCAGTATTTTTCCTTTTTTTAAGGTTGAATAATCTCCATTTCAGGAATGTGTCACATTTTGTATATCCATTCATCATTGAGGACACTTCCATTGCTTCCATCTTTCTTGGCTATTATGAATGCTGCTACTATGAAGATAAGTGTACAAATATTTCTTCAAGTCCCTGCTTTTAGTTCTTTCAGGTGTACCCTCAAAAGTAGAACTGCTAGATCATATAGTGTTACTATGTTTAAATTTTTGAGGAAACTGCCATATTTCCCATAGGACTATACCATTTTACATTCCCACCTGCAAAGCACAAAGATTTCAATTTCTCTACATCCTTATCAACACTTTTTTTGTTGTTGCAGAAGGACAGAATGACTTATTTTGTTTATTTGTATGTGGTGCTGAGGATCAAACCCAGTGCCTCATGCATGCTAGGCAAGTGTTCTGCCACTGAACTATAGCCCCAGCCCTTGATAATGTCTTCTGACATCTTAAAATTTCCATTAAGTCTTTCTAGGTCCTTCTTATCATGTATTTTAATGGATCCACCTCTACATAGAGATAAGGGTACAGAAAGAAAAAAGGATTCAATCTGGATCCACACCTCTCAGACAGAGTCCTGCATTTCAGAGAAAGAAGTGGTAGAAGTGGCCTGCTTACAATAACTAAAAAACTGAACAATAATAATTATTATATTTATAATAATAATTTAATTTATAATTATTAAAATGTTTTATGATAATTTTAATTATTAAAATAATGCTTATTATATCATTTATTATTATTCCCTAACAAACAAGTATCTTTGAGGTGACTAAATATTGATTATAAGACTAGCAATGCCCACTGTATTACTCAAGGATCTCCAGAGACACAAAACCAATAGAGGTGTGTGTGTGTGTGTGTGTGTGTGTGTGTGTGTGTGTGTGTGTACATGTATATACATATATATGGTATTTATTATAAAGAGTTGACTCCCATGATTATTGAAACTAAGTCCAAATCTACACTGTAGGCTGTCAGGCTTGAGACCAAGAAAGTCAGGGCTGAAGTTTCAATCTGAAGGTCTTCAGACAGAAAACCCAAAGAGCCAATGATACCGATGAAGTCTAAAGACCAGCAGGGAAAAGCTATCCAAAGTAGGCTGATAATCAAAGTAGGCTGATGGAACAGTTGAGGTCCAAAGGCAGCCTGTTGGAGAATTCTCTCTTGCTGAGAGAGGCAGGTCTTTTTATTCAAATCAGGTATTCAACTGATTTGATGAAGTCTACCCACAATACAGAGGGCAATCTGTTTTACGAAAGTATACTGATTTAAGTGATAATATCATCTGAAACATCATCACAGAAAAAGATTTGAATATCATCTGAAACATCATCCCAGAAAAATATCTGACAAATTATTTGGATACTTCATGACTGAGTCGAGTTGACACACAAAATTAACCATCCCACACAACTTTGATAGACATAATATCCCCAAAGTTTAGTATCACTAAACTCTCCAACTGAAATAAAAATTTATTTATGTAAAATTTAAAAACTGATTCCTATGCAGCACATTTAAAAACTAGAAAAGCTATTGCAAGACCCAAACCAAAAGTATTTCAAGATTTCAAACCAAAGGTATTGAAAGATACCAAATCAAAGATCCTCTGTTTCTTCTGCTTGTCCTTATTTAAAATAGGCCATCATTTCTAAAATATTCGTCTTTGAAGTTGAAATGCCAATTGGTATCTGAGTATTTAGGTAGCAATTACTTAGAACTCTGATTCAATTTATAAAAACAATATACTTCTTTCTTTAACTCGGAGAAAGTATTTTACCAGATCTCTCCATTTCTATATGTGATCAAATCAATTTCTCTATATAGTTTAGTTTCAAAAGGTTTATTTTCACAGTCCTTTAAAGCAATTTTTCCAAGCTAGCCAATCATTGGAAATTACTTCGGAGGCTTTCAAAAAATGGGCATTTCCAGGTTCTACACAAACATAATCTGGAAATTCATATTTTTAAAAAACTATCCAAAGTAGGCTGATAATCAAGCTTTCAAAACCATGTGCTAAGGTACATTTGAGGACCTTGTATAATAATCACATAGCAAATGCTTATAAGATAAATGGAAAAAAATATTCTTATTTCACAGTTACAGAAGCTAGAGGGAATTTTTTTCTTCATTCAAAAATTGTAAACCCAATTTTTAAACAAATTATTAGGAGTCAAATAAGGCTATCTTAGTTTCAAGGACAAATATTTGGTGTTAAATTTTTCTCTTCATCAGAAATAAATACTGTGATAAATCTTCCTAGCTACAATATTAAATAGACCCTCACAGACAGTCTTTGCAACTGCTGACAGTTTCTAAGTGCTTACTGAATTACCATTCCCCTTGGTGTTTGAATTCAGAAACAAAATTCTTAAGCTAAGTATGCGAATGTCTACACAACATACATATTCATACACATAAAACAACAGAAAGGTTTTAAGCGGCCCAAATCTCAAATTGTATTATAAAGACTAGCACCTTCTTCACAAATTTAAGATGATCTCTGACATACATAGAGATGAAAGTTTCAATTATTATATCCTATTTTAACCTCTGTTCCTTTCTCTTCCATATGTCTAACAAAAAAAAAAAAGAAAGCTATGGGCAGGGGGGAATACTATATATCCCCCCCAAAAAAACAAATGAACTTCATCAAAGCTGTAGTAAAGAAATAGAATGACTGATTAAGAGACTGTTTTAAAGGGAGGAAAAAGGAAAAAAGCAAAATACTAGACAAAAGAATTGTCACTGTTAATTTGCCATTGAGATAACATTTTTAATTTTTAATAAGTGTGTATTCAATCATACTTATGGCTCCACACCTGTAATACTGCATCCGCACTAAGAACAGTCATCATCTTATTTTCATTCATTTGCTCTTGCAGACCCTCACTGAGTTTGTGCCCAAGTTGAATCTCAGGAGAAGGAATGCCTAGAATGAAATATAATCGTAAGTCATTTGCAATAGTTTTATTGATCTCCTTCAACTCAGGATTTCATAGATACTGCAAAATTTCATTAAAAATCATTTTGTAGGAGCTAAGGATATAGCTCAGTGGTAATGAGGGTGATTAGCTTCTGCAACTCCCTGGGTTCAATTCCCAGCATAAAAAAAAAAAAACTCAAAACCAAATAAAACCTTTGTGTATAATTCCTTAACTGTCACTTTTATGTGCCAATGTTTAAAGTTTCCAGTTAGCAGGAGACACATATGCTACACTGAATGAAATACTACTTTATTTCTCTGTTTCAGGATGAATGAATACAACCAATAAGTACAGAAAATGATATAGACTTAAATACCAAAAAATAAATAAATAAACTTTTTCCCCACTTCATTTTAGATCATATTTTCAAACTCATAATATTAGTAGATAATTGAAGAAAAATCAGTTTTGTTCTCAAAAAGGCAAATAAAACTCATATTTTAATTTTTTTTTCTTTTCAAGTTCCTAAAAAAATACCAAAAAAATGAACAGTTGCTTTTTGCTTCATCCTTAGCAACAATGGAATAAAATAAAATGTACCTCTTATAGATCAAAAGATGGGAATGAATTAGAGGAAAATTAAACAAATGGTAAACAGCTTCCTACGGACAAATGTTTATATCTCTCCTGAAATTCTCATGGTGAAGCCCTAACCCCTATGTGACGATATTAGGGGGGGGCCTCTGAGAGGTAATTAGGTTTAGATGAATTCACAAGAGTAGAGCCTTCATATGGGATTAGCATCCTTGTAAAAATGAGAGAAACCAGAGTGTTTTCTACATAAGTACACAGATCAGATCATATGAGCACACAGCAATATGCCAGCTGTCTGCAGGTCAGAAAAAAGGCCCTCATCAAGCACCAAATCTCCCAGCACCTTGATCTTGAACCTCCAAGATCTTGGAATGCTTGAGAAAAAAAATCTGTAGATCAAGCCATTTAAGTTATGTTACTTTGTATAGCAGCCCAAGCCAACTAAGACACAGTTTGTCACTCAACATAGGAAAAGAAAGAGTGTCCTTAAAAGTAACTCTGGATTTCTTACATTAGAATTCCAAAAAAACCACCCAACTCAGAAAAAATGTGGCCAACTAAAATCGCAAAAAGGCAAATCGGAAGCACACAGTGGGTAAAGTCTCGTACTTCACTGAGCTTGTTGCCTATACCTATGAAAATTAGTATGAATACTGTAGCCTCCTACTCTGTATAGGATATTTTCCTTACCACATACAAAAATGTACTAAAACCTAAAGATGATAAAATAATGTAGTGATGGTACAGAAATAGTCACATAGATCAGTGAAACAAAATGGAGTGGGAAATATATATGTGTATATATGACAATAATTTTATTTTAAACAGAACAAGATTGATTACTCAAAAAATTATATTGAATTTCTTTAGCTATTCTGGGTCTCTTACTTTTCCAGATGAATGGAACCACCATTTGACCCAGCTATCCCTCTCCTCAGTCTATACCCAAAGGACTTAAAAACAGCAAACTACAGGGACACAGCCACAACAACATTTATAGCAGTACAATTCACAATAGCTAAACTCTGGATCCAACCTAGATGCCCTTCAATAGATGAATGGATAAAAAAAATGTGGCTTATATACACAATAGAATATTACTCAGCAATAAAAGAGAATAGAATCATGGCATTTGCAGGTAAATAGATAGAGTTTGTGAATATAATGCTAAGTGAAGTTAGCCAATACAAAAAAAATACGTAATGTTTTCTTTGATATAAGGAGGCTGATTCATAGTGGGATAGGGAGAGGGAACATGGGAGGAATAGATGAACTCTAGATAGGGCAGAAGGGTTGGAGGGGAAGGGAGGGGACATGGGGTTAGAAATGATGGTAGAATGTGATGATCATTATTATCCAAAGTACATGTATGAAGACATGAATTGGTGTGAATATATTTTGTATACAACCAGAGATATGAAAAATCATGCTCTATATGTGTAATAAGAATTGTAATGCATTCCACTGTCATATATAAATAAAAATTTAAAAAATAATATTGGATGTGTAACTATTAGAATAAAAAAAATGTTTAAAATAATAATATTAAGGCAATTGGCCAACCATTTGAAAAAATAAAGTTAGATCCTTTTTATTTCCCCATATGCCAAAATAATCTAAAGATATTAGAGATATGAATGCAAAAGACATAAATAAATGGAAATAAAGATAGAATATATTTTACAGTTTTGAGGTAGGTAAAGTAATTCTATGTTTGGGGGGAAAAAAGAAACACTGACAGAAAAGACTGACAGATTATACTGTATACTTTACCACAAAATATATCATGAACAACATTAAAAGGTAACCAAGAAACTGGGTAAAACTATAATACACATGGCACAAGTTTGTATCTTTTACACATAAAATGCTCTTATAAATTAAAATATTAGGAAACATATGCAAGCAATTCACATTCAAAAAATAATTACCTGGCAAAAAGTGAATATGTCTTGTTGAATCTAGGGGATAAAAAACATCTTCTTAGGGGCAATATGTATCAACACCTGATGTGTAAACCCCTAAACAGTAAATCAACTTCTATATTATTCTTCTAAGGTAATAACCAGAAAATTAAGCTATGGTAGATGTACAAAGATATTTATATTTGTAATAATATTGAGAAACATCATAAACATGTTTATTTTAAATAAAATACATTCATATGATGGAATAATATGTAGTAATTTAAAAGGTTAGTAGGCTTGTTTGGTACCTCTTTCTCTGGCACTTGCCATATTCTACAAAATTCCGAAAGAGGAGTCAAGACTAAAAGCAATGATCATATTAAATTTGAAGTGCTGAAGCAAGATGATCTTGTGGTAGGCTAAGGTACACTTAATAAATTCATGAAAGTCTACTGTGAACGGGGTTTGTCAATGAGATAAACTGGAATCCAACTTGACAATCAGTTGGTCAATAGAAGAGACACACCTGGTGCAAAGGAAGGATGAAGATTCAATTAATGTATTCCAGTAGCAGACAGGTGTCTTCTTAAAAGAAAACTTGCTACTCTCCTCCAAAATATTATTCTCATAGAGTATATTCTCAGTTGAAAACAATAATTTAGTTTCACTATAATCTTTACTACCAAAGTATAGTTTTCTCTTATTTCTTTATTTTCCCCTTCCCCAGTCCTTTACTGTGCATAAAGTAACAAAGCATGTGACCAAGAATATTGCCTTTTTTAAAAAAACCTAAATGGCCAATATATGCTTTGATCAAAATTAAATGGAGATGGGGAAAAACATTGGTTCTGTAAAAATAACAAACTGTCTTCATTAGTAGCATGCTTACTCAGCTTTTCTGTTTCACTAAGTTATTTTATTTTCACTATTGTAACTAAAAAGTACACAAAACATAAAATCCTTGCATATCTTGTTTGATTGGAAATATTTAATGGTTTTCACTTGTTGTTGTAAATCAATAACAATTTTATAACTTTTTTATATGTAGTTGTTATATGTAGCGCAACCTGTACTTAAGTAGGGAAAAATTACTTCAAAAAAAATAATGATAGGTAGTTTTCCCTTCATTCAAGCATTTCTTGTTTAAATGAACTTCTTACTTAAAATGAAAAATTAAAGTTAAAAAAATTACAAAAGATTGTGGTAGATCAATATAGACAAGGAAAGAACCACATGTAAAATGATAACAATTATGAAGATATTCATCTGGTATAAAAACTCTAAAAGGATATACCAATACTAAACACTGGCAAAGAAAGCAGACTACAGAAGGAAGGAGTAAGGGATGAAAATAACCATGGTAAGTAGTTATTGTCCTTTTCAGTTTCTACATTATGTATTTCATAATTTAAAATTATTTTATATTGTTAATAACTGACAAAAATAATAAATGTCAATTCATTTGGTAAAGGAAAGGGAAGGAAAGTGTGGTTGGAATATTCAAACAAATCTCTAACTCCTTTCTGGTAGCACTTTATAAATTGTAAGACGGCATTCTGAAGACCCATATTACACATTGTCTTTTCCAACTGCCAAGTAGAAAAAAATACTTAAAGGAGAAACTGTGATCTTCCATTAGAAGATATGTACAGTAAAAAGACTCTGTGAACTACAAACAGTACACAAAAATTAAAAGACCTTCGTGGGTATTAAAAATTGTTTTACTCTGTTTTACACCAATTCCTAGACATCCTCCAAAATAAAAGGAAGGTTCACAGAAAAAATCCATACAAGGAAATAATCTACATCTAGTCAGCTACTGCAGAATTGATCTTGTAAGATGCAGTTTTCTAGAAATATTTAAATCAACCTAGAAGTGGGCACAGGAAGTACAGCTAACTGGTAAGTGAAACATAATTTTTAAAAATAAACATATCAAGTATATGTGGTGTAATTTTAGTCTGTAAGAATAAGTGTAGTTATTAAGAAATATTATTTACTTTTACGAATAAGCTATAGGTTTAAGGTAGAGATTTTGGCAGTCGGGGAGACAAGCTATCAAGAGCGCTACTTTAATGTCTATGGATCATTCTAGGAGTCTTAAATATCTTCCAGAAGCTACAATTCCCATTTTTGTCCCTTCTATACCTTAACAGACCTTACAGCCTGTTACATATATTTATAAGAAACTAACTTTGCATAAAGTTAAGAATAAGACTAAATATAAAATTGTGGTAATGGAACAATAATAGTTGGGAAAATAATATGAGAATTCTTATTGAAAAGAATCATTCTCACCTTGGAACAATCCACTTATTCCAGGATGAACACTGAACTCAGATCTAAGAGATGTGTCTTGATCAAAGAATAACCTTTTGAATATCAAAAGAGAAAGCACATTATTATCATGTCTCTAAAATAAAGACTAAGATTTTAACTATCATTTTTATTATACTTATGCTTTCTAAAATTCTTAGTTACACCACTTTTAACATTTTTATTTCAAAGTATTATTTCAGAAATGTCCACTTTAATTTTTGGATTTATTTCTCACTATGTTTGAGGAAGCATCAATGTGAGGAAAAGAAAGGACACACAGCCTTAGCCTTTGAGAAACTCTAAATCTAATGAGAGATGTACAATTTAAAAATAACAGTAATTTTCCCTGGCAAGTATGCTACTCAGCAGACATAAGTATTTATCTTTTCTACTGAAAAGGTAGGCAAAGAAAATTAGGTATGTGATGAATACCTATAGACTCAGTTACAAGGGAGCCTGAGGCAGGAGGATCACAAGTTTGAGCCTAGTGTGGGCTATATAATAGGATGCCATCCCAAAAAATATATATAAAAAATAGGCAAAGGACTTGAAAAGATATTTCTGCAAAAATGAAGTACAAATGGTCAGTAAATATATAAAAAGATGCCCAATGTCACTAATCATTAGGGAAATCAAAATCATGTGATATGCCACTTCACAATCCTTAGGACTGCTGTTGTTAAAAAAAAATTTTAAAGTACTGGTAAGGATGTGAAGAAACTGGAATGCATATGTGTTGCTGGTGGAAATGCAGAGTGGCATTACTATGAAAAACAGTATGGTGATTCTTAAACTTATTAAAAAGAACTGCCAATTGATTTAGCAATTCTGCTTCTGGGTACATATGAAAAAAAAACTAAAAGCAGGGACTTGAACACATCGTTGTATAACTGTGTTCAGAGAAGCATGATTCATAAGAGCCAAAAGGAGGAAACAAACCAAATATCCCTTAATGGATACATGGATAAATATGGCATAAACATACAATGGAATAGTACCCTGTTTTAAAAACAGATAGATATATGCTATAACATGAATAAATCTTGAAGACATTATGCTAAGTGAAATAATCCAGACTCAAAAAAGCAAATATTACATGATTCTACTCATATGAGGTACCTAGAGTAGTCAAATTTGTAGAGACAGATGGTAAAATAGTGGTTGGTATGGGTGGAAGGAGAGGAGAATGAGGAGTTATGATTTAACAGGTATATGTTGTCACTACAGGATGATTAGGAAATAGTAGTGGTTGAAGAACAATGTCAATGTACTTAAATAAACACTTTAAAATGGTAGATACGGGGCTGAAGCTGTAGCTCAGTGGCAGAGCACTTTCCTAGCATGCACAGGGCACTGGGTTCAATCCTCAGCACTACATAAAAGTAAACAAATAAAATAAAGGCATTCTGTCCATCTACAACTACAAAATTTTTTTTTTATTGGTAAATATGGTGGTAGGTACAGTGGTACCTATAATCCTATAATCCTAGCAGCTTGGTAGTCTGAGACAGGAGGATCACCAGTTTACAGCCAGCCTCAGCAATTAAGCAAGGCCCTAAGAAACTTACTGAGATGTCTCTACATAAAATATACCAAAGGGCTGGGGATGTGGCTCAGTAGTTAAATGTCCCTGGGTTCAATCCCCAATACGGGGGGGAGGGGTATAGATACGGTAAATTTTATTTAATGCACATTTTACTACAATAAAATTTTAAAAAACAAAACAGTTTTCTAAAAAATTAATCATCTATGCTAAGGCATGCATGTGTAGTTTGGTACTAAGGGCTTTTGTTTACTTACTTGTTCATGTTCCCTTTCTACTTTTTTAACTGAAAATTTCAAATACAAGTACTAACTCTGCCCCCTGCTGGTCTCCCAATAGATTTTTTTTTGTCTTTTTGTTTTTTAAAGAATTTAACCTTTATTTGTTGTTTTAATGTGGTACTAAGGATCAAACCCAGGGCCTCACCTGTGCTAGGCAAGCATTCTACCACTGAGCTACAACCCAAGTCCCCCAATGGACTATTTTAAAGTGAACTCTAAACACAATAACCATTTCATATGAAAATATTTTGTATGTTAACTCTCAAATACAAAAACTTAATATAACAATAATCATGTCTTTGAAAATAACCATATCATTACACCTAAGAAGTCAATAATTCCTTAATGTTATTAAGTTTAGGCTGTGGTAAGCAGATTATAAAATAGCTCCTGATATATACCCTATGTAATTTCTTCCCTTGAGTATAGGCTGGACCCAGTAATTCTTCTAATGAACAAAATATAGTAAATACAATAGAATGTTACTTCTGAGACTAGCTCACAAGAAGACATGGGCTTGAATCATGTTCTCCCTTTTATACTCTCTCTTCTTCCCTCTGATGAAAGTCAGCATGTCATGCTGTGAACTATACTATGGAAAAGCCTACACAATAAACTGAAAGTGGCCTCCAGTCAAGAGTCAAAGATGAAGCTGTGGCAAGGATGTGGGGAGGAGTACACATATACATTGCTGGTAGGACTACAAATTGGTGCAATCACTCTGAAAAGCAGTATGGAGATTCCTCAAAAAACTAGGAATGGAACCAATATTTGACCCAGTTATCTCACTTCTCAGTATATATCCAAAGGAGTTAAAATTAGCATACTACTGTCCTGTATATTTCCAGTAAAATGTTAATTAGACTTAAGCACACACCTGTAATCCTAGCAGCTCCAGAGGTACAGGCAGGAGAATCATGAGTTCAAAGCAAGCCTCAGCAATTTAGAGAGGCCCTAAACAACTTAGTGAGACCCTATCTCAAAATAAAAATATAAAAACTACAGAACACTAAAGAAAGAAATTGAAGAACTTAGAAGATGGAAAGATCTCCCATGTTCTTGGATAGACAAGAGTTAATATTGTCACAATGGCCATGCTACCAAAAGCACTATGCAAATTTAATGCAATTCCTAAAATTTCAATGACATTCTTCATAGAAATAGAAAAAGCAGTCATGAAATTCATTTGGAAAAAAAGAGGCCCAGATTATTCAAAGCAATACTTAATGAGAAAAGCAAAGCAGGAGACCTCATAATACCAGACCTTAAATTATACTACAGAGCTATAGTAATAAAAACAGCATGATATTGGCACAAAAATAGGAAAGAAGACCAATGGAACAGAATGGTAGAGACAGAGACAAACCCACAAAAATACAGTTATCTCATTCCTAGACAAAGGTGCCAAAAGCATACACTGGAGAAAAGATAGCCTCTTCAACAATATGGTATTGGGAAAACTCGAAATCCATATGTAGCAGAATGAAATTTAACCCCTATTTCTCATGCCACACAAAACTCAACTCAAAGTGGATCAAAGACCTACACATTAGACCAGAAACCCTATACCAACTAGATGAAAAATGTAGATCCAATACATCATCATGTCAACTTAGGAAAAGAATTCCTCAACTAGACTCCTAAAGTGCAAGAAGTAAATTAAATATCAATAAGTGGAAGGCCATCAAATTAAAAAAGTTTCTTCACAACAAAGGGAATAATCAATAACATGAAGAGGAAGCCTACAGAATGGAAGAGAATCTTTGCCACCTACACCTCAGATAGAGCATAAATCTCCAGGATATATTAAGAGCTCAAAAAACTTAACACCAACAGAACAAACAACCCAATAAATGGGCAAAGGAACTGAACAGGCACTTCATAGAAGAAGAAATACAAGTGGTCAACAAATACATTTAAAAATGTTCAACATCTCTAGCAATTAGAGAAATGCAAATTAAAACTACACTAAGATTCCATCTCACTCCAATCAGAATGGCAACAATCAAGAACACAAGTAACAATAAATGTTGGCAAGGATATGGGGAGGGGTACACATATACATTGCTGTTAAGAGTACAAATTGATACAATCACTCTGAAACGCAGTATGAAGATTCCTCAAAAAAACTAGAAATGGAACCAACATTTGACCCAGCTATCCCACTCCTCAGTATATATCCAAAGGAGTTAAAATTAGCATACTACAGTGACACAGCCACATCAATGTTTATAGCAGCTCAATTCACAAAAGCTATGACACCAACCTAAGTGCTCTTCAACAGATGGATGGATAAAGGAAACATGGTATACATACATAACATAATATTACATAGGAAAATGTTGAATTTTAGAATAAGTTGTAACACAGCAAAAGAAAACTAATAATAGTCATATTTTTCCAGCTGTGTCTCTTCATAATCACTATGTCAATTCAGGATCAAAAAATATAAGTGTGGGCTGGGGATGTGGCTCAAGCAGTAACATACTCGCCTGGCATGCGTGGGGCGCTGGGTTCAATCCTCAGCCACACATAAAATAAAGATGTTGTGTCCACCAAAAACTGAAAAATAAATATTAAAAAAATTCTCCCTCTCTCTCTCTCTCTAAAATATGTGTGTGTATGCCTTGATACACATTTACATTTAAATACTATGTCTTTTTACTTTCTTTTAAAATCTATCGATTGTCCTTTCTTCCCTGACCCATTGAAATTTATTTATTGAAAAAACTGAGTTGTGTTTCCTATAGAGTATCCTACATTTTGGAATTGCTGATTTCATGTCATTTAACATGTTCTTCTGTCCCTGTATATTTCCAGTAAAATGTTAATTAGACTTAGAAGTCTGATCTAATTAAAGCTCACTTTTGGAGAACATGTAGGTAGTTAAAACAAGCAATAACAGAGTATGATTGATATTCTTTTTGTGATGTTAGTGCCCATTGATGACCACTGCCTACATCCACTCATTACTTCATAGGGAATAAATGGAATGGGGTATTTTAGTTTATCATTCTTTCTCAATTTATTATTAGAAGTACATATATTAAAAATCTTTTGCTCATTAGTTTGTAATCTAGACACATTATCAGGGAACTAGGAAAGGTAAGGTAAATGCCAATTAGCAGGGAACTAGGAAAGGTAAGATAAATGCCAACTTCTTTCTCTTTCTTGACTAGTTTTCAGAATAAAATAAAGCTTTTTAAAGACTATTTGGAACTTATAGATT